TTCCAGCGGGACCTTATAGTTTATTGTCTGAGGGTGAGGAGAATGGGCCTCCAACGGGTTTTCGGAGTCCTTCGAACTACTCGAAAATCCACAATATGGAGGTCTGTTTCACCACTTCCCCGTCTTGTACGTAGTTCTTCTACGGCCTTTTCCATTTTGACTCGATCTTCTGGTGAGAGGTCACGAAGTACATAGAATGGCTCGCCTTTGAGACGCGAGGTCCTTCGCAGGATGCATCGGCATCCCTCCTCATTCCGGCAAACGATTTTAAGGGGGCGATTTCTCGAGATATCCTCTTGTTTTTTACCAAGACGGAAGGCAGATACAATATTGATTCCCTGTTCGCCTTTATCAAATAGCAATGAGACCAATCGCTCAAGCAGTGTTTGGTCATCTAGTATTCTTTCCGCAGGGGTTGGTTTTTCCGATTCCGCTGCGTTCATGATGATAAGACAACGGTCGCGAGATGGCTGGGTACGTTCAGGAACATGTGGCTTGCTACGGGGCGGATTTTCCTTGACAGCTTTCTCAAGCTCAGATAGTCTTCCTTCTTTTTTCCGATACATACAGTGGGCTTCCATAAACCATTTTTCATATTCCGTTTCCTTTTTAACAACTTACTGTTATATTTCAACTCTTCCACTTTTATTCAACTTCGCAATTAGGCATGGCACAGATCAGTTTTTGGATTTTTGGAGGTACTGACCTCTTTACAAACACGTTGCGCAAATACCCAATAAAACCCTTACTTTTTGAGAACGCAGAAACAGGTTGTCCTGAGGAACAAGAGAGTGGCTAATTTTTGACATGAAAAATAGGCCTGGAGTTCAAGTTCAAGTTCAAGTGGGACCGGAACAGTAGGATAAGTCCCCGTGAATGTTCCTTCCGTGACGCGTCGTTGATCCAGGGTATTATTCGTCCGCGATAACTGGAATCCAGAAGAGTCAGATCAGCGCGCGCGAATCACACCACGGTCAACCAATTAATACCCACGCGACCTGCACTGGCAGTCCCCGCCGCACCGGTCACGTGAAATAAGAAAAAGAAGTACGAAAGTAATAAGGGCGTCAAGAAAAAAAAGATTTAACATTTCAATAAAACGAATAAACTAGGAAGTGAAGGGGAATGTTAAGAATTGAAGGCCAAGAGCGTCGAGTCGGTGTTCGAACTCTTTCACTGTTGGTGCCAATACCACGTTTTCGGGCAGTGCATTCCAGGAATCCACCACTCGGCGTGATAAACGAAAGTCCGCCCGGACTCCATCCGATCGAGGTTTGTGTAGCTTCAGCGAGTGACCGCGGAGCGATAGAAGCCGAGCCGGTTGGAAAAGCCCGGATAAATCGGGTCCGGTTTTACCGGTAAGTATACGATAGATCAAGACTAGGTCAAGTTCAAGTTCAAGTTCAAGTGGGACTGGAACGATAGGATGAATCCCGTAAGTGTTCCTTCTTGAGCGGGTCGTCGATCCAGGAGTTGATAGGGGTGCTCCGACTTCTTGATGGGTCTAAAAGGAAAACACCCGAAAAACACCCTGGTCCACCAATTTAATGCCCACGTTCCTAACATTAGCTGTCCCAGCTGTGTCAGTTACGTGAAGTAAGTAAGAGAGGAAGGAGAATCGAAGGTAAGGGAGTAGGGGAAATCAGTTAAAAGAAGAGAATAATACCAATGACGAGGAAAAGCAAAGAAAATAGAATCGAAGTATGAAGATGGGAATTCGTCAGGAAAACGGAAAGGTTTCGTGTTGCCACCCAAGAGCATCTAGTTGACGCTCAAACCCCTTAACCGTAGTTTCCTTGACAACATTTTCAGGAAGCAGGTTCCAGCGCTCGATGACTCGACGCGATAAGCGTGTCTCCGCTCTAACTCGATCGGACCGCGGCTTGTCCAGCTTCATACAATGCCCGCGGAGACCAGATAATCTAGCAGGACTAAATAGCATGGACAAATCAGGGCCAACCTTCCCAGTCAAAATACGGTAGGTTAGGATTAGGTCCCCTCTAATCCTTCGATAGTGCATTGACTGCATTCCCAAACTAAGTAGGCGTTCGGGGTACGTTTGCCCTCGTAATCCCTTGACCAACCTAGTACCGACACGCAACACCCTTTCTAGTGCCATTTTGTCCCGGACAAGGCATGGTGGACAGGCCTGGACGCAATATTCTAGGTGGGGTCGCACAAACGCTGAGAAGAGCTTCACAAATACATCAGCGGTTAGGGTCCCAAAAGAACGACGGATAAACCACAGCATCCGGAACCCTTTACTAGCCGCCTTCTTCCAGTTGTCTCCAGAGTGTAATGTGGAACAGTGGATGACACCTAGATCAACCTGATGAGTCACGTGAGGAAGTACAGTCCCATCGAGCACATAACTTGTGGAGGAATCAGACGCTCCGATACGCAGCACTGAACACTTTGCCCGGTTTATAGGCAGCAACCACAAGACAGACCATTCCCAGAGTTTATCCAGAGCCCGTTGAAGAGCCATAGGACCTCCAGGGATATCAACAATATTCCAGAGCTTTAGGTCATCAGCAAATAAAAGCGATTGTACCTCAAGCTCCTCCGGCAAGTCATTCACGTAGACTGAGAACAGCAGCGGACCTAGGACAGAGCCTTGCGGAACGCCGCTAAGCACAGCCTGTCGAAACGAAAGACTGCTTCCCACACGAATACACTGTTCCCGTCCATCCAGAAAAGCTGACACCCACTGGAGAGCACGACCAGCTATTCCATACGACCTCAACTTCAGCGAGAGTCGCCTCGATGTTGACGATAGTGCCTCGAGAACATCCCTAGCGCAAGTAGTCTTTCTGGGTAAGAATGGTGCTTAGTTTTCCGGTACACCTGGCTAAATGGTGATGCTTTCAAAACTGGATTACATTGGAACATTGGAACATTGGAATGTAGAGAGCAGAAGGAAAAATCCTTTGTCAGCTCCATCGCCTCCCGTTCGTCACAGGGATCAAGGTGGACATTGCAAGTCGGTTCCAATGGAACCGCTACATTGACACAAGAAGCAACAAGATCCGAGTTTACTCAACAGGTAAGAATCCAATTGATGTTTGAAACATTCCTCCGACTGCGCATCAACGACACACACAGGTAGATTATTCCATTCGTTCACTACTCTGGTAGACAGAGTGACATCACAACGGACCCGAAGTCTCCTTTGTTTAAACAATTTCCAATGGTGACCCCGAGTCGAACTGAAAGAATTGAGTGGAAAGAAATTCTGCAATTCAACTCCAAGTTCCCCTCTAACGATACGCCGGGTGAAAATCAAATCCCCGCGATCTCGACGGTAGGCTAGGGAGAACAAGTTCAGGCACTGGAGACGATGCGAGTAAGGCAGGTTTCGTAATTCCAGAACGGATTTAGATCCTCTCCGCTGAACTTTTTCAATCAAGTTGCACTCAAATTTGGAAAGAGGATAAACAGCGGGCAGTCCATACTCAAGAACCGGACGTACATGAGAAGTGAACAGGAGCCTGAAGATCTCCGGAGTCAAGCGAGAGAAGGATCGTCGTATGGCGAAAAACAACCTGTTGGCAGAAGCGACTTTCCTCAAGGTATCTTCGGTCGATTTTAGGTCTGGGGTCACAATGACGCCGAGGTCCCTCTCACGATTAGAGTTCGGCAGCAAAAACCCACCGATATGATAAATTCCAAATGGTTCGGAGGCACCGATCGGAAGAACGGAACATTTATCGTGATTTATGGGTAATTGACACCTGATCGACCACTCATGCAGCGAATCGAGCCTTGTTTGTAGTAAATCAGCTTCATCCAGACAGGAGACTTCCATCCATATCTTTAAATCATCCGCGTAAATCAAACAATCTGCCCGTAGTACAGATGCCAGATCATTAATAAAGACTTTAAAAAGTTCAGGGCCAAGAACAGAGCCTTGCGGAACACCGCTGGTCATATTTACAGGGAAGGAAAAGGCCTCATTTACTTGTACACGGAAAGCGCGGTCATTCAGGAAATCAGTGAGCCAAGAGAGGATTTTTCCTGAAACACCAATACTGCGAAGCTTGCTAAGCAAAATTTCGTGTGGAACCTTGTCAAAGGCTTTACTAAAATCCACAAATACGACATCTAGCCGCTTACCAGCATCCATGGATTTAGCCCACTTTTCTCGAGCTACCAGAAGATTGGTGACACAGGAACGCGAAGGACAAAACCCATGCTGCGCAGCTGAAATGATCTTGAGGTTCTGGAAGTGCAGGTTGAGAGCTCGCTTAAGAATCCTCTCCATAACCTTACAGATGACAGATGTTAGGCAAATGGGCCGATAATTCGTAGGATCTTGCCGATTACCTCCTTTGTATATGGGCTTGACTATACCCGCTTTCCAGGCAAGCGGAAGACGCCCAGCCTCAAGTGAGCACCGAAATACGTGGCAGATAGGAACAGCGATATATTCGGCCACAATCTTGAGAAAAAGAGGATGCAGTCCATCAGGTCCCGGGGAAGAGTTGGGATCCAACTCGCACAAAAGTTTGTATACCACAGTAACATTTATGTCCATATCGCTGAGAGCGGAGAGCAAGGATGAATAGCAATCAACTGACGGCACCCCCGTTGTATAGACCGATGAATAATGGCGAGCTAAAAGATTAGCTTTATCAGCATCGTCGTGGAGTACGGTATTAAGATCGTGGGAATGCAAAGACGGTATTCCACTTCCGGCTCTGGTGCTCCTTTTCAGGTAGGAGAAAAGCAGCTTCGGTATAGACTTGGAAGATTCAGCCAGATGACCTTCGTATTGCTGCCGTTTCGTACGTTTTTTCGAGGTACATACGTTTCGGACCAATTTATAATTGCTATAATCGGTTTCCAACCTCGAAAGCCTATAGCGATTCCAAAGTTTGTGTCTTTGGTTCATGAGCGATCGTAGTTCTCGGTCAATCCAGGGGGGACCTCTAGTAAATGGTTTTCGTTTGGATATGGGGACAACATCATCTAGAAATAGACATGTATAGGTCGCGCACCGGGTATATAGCGCATGATCAACGCGCTATAATTGTTGACCCCGAGAAAAACTATTTTTGATGAGTTCGGTATTAATATTTCTTTTCAGATCCGGTAACCGATTCTGTCTACCCTTCTACTTTCACTTTTTACTACTTGCATTCACTTTCACACGCTCTGTAATTTTTTACCATGAAGGTTATTCACTCACCTTCTGACGATCAGGTTAGTGCGCTCCGTTTTCCTATCCCGCCTTTCCGTGATACTAACCCTAAGGCCTGGTTTAACCAGCTAGAGTCCATTTTTCCTTACATGGTGTTAACTTTGACAGCGTCAAATTTCACTACGTTGTCGCAGCGCTTCCCTCGCAAGTCGTCGATGACCTCGACGACAACTTGGAACTTCCGGGATATCAGAAAAATTACGATGAGCTTAATTCCGTCGTCTTAAAGCGATTTGGCATATCAGACCATGCTCGCGTTGCGCAGCTTCTTAACGAAACCGAGCTAGGTGATCGAAAACCTTCGCAGCTGCTGCACAAGATGCAGGCTCTAGCTAAGCCTCTCGCTGTTGGCGACTCTTTCCTTAAAGAGACGTGGCTTCGTCGCCTGCCACGTAACATGCGCAATCTCTTGTATGCAAACGATGCGCCTCTTTCTCAGCTCGCCGATATTGCCGACCGTATTTGGGAATCCAACGCCCAAATATCTCAGGTTCAGTCTACCTCCAGTACAGAGGTAGCAGCACTAAAAGCGCAAGTAGCCGCATTGTAGCGCCCAAAAAGATAACTCTTATCTTTCGTGTACAATTTACTTGTTGACCGATTGTACATTACTCCTTCTTGTTTTAATCTTACAACCGGCTCGACACACAACTGCCTTGTAAGTCCCCGCGCTCACGTGTACGCTCTTGCCTCGCTTCATCCGTCCGCTTCTTGTTGTAGCCCATCGAATACAGTCCGCTGTGTCCGACTCCAATTGCCTTCTGATATCCGCGCTTAATTCCGCGCATCGTCTCGGACTAGTATTAACTAGTCCTACAAATTGGTGACCCCGATTCGCACGCGCGAATTCAACTTTTTTTCTCGTTTGTATTTTTTGGTGAGTTCGTTCCTTTTTCTCGATTATATACCTATATTCATTTGTTTCTTGCGTAATTTTAGTACTTTTATCGTATTTTGTTCGTTCTTTATCTTTCGACTCACATTTCGAGAGTGGCATCTGAGTCGTTTCACAGCGTAACCATGCTTACTTTGGCTGTTCCAAGTTTCATGGAACACAGTCCAGAAGTTTGGTTTAAGATATTCGAGATCGAACTAGAAAATAAGGGCATAACGGCGGACCGTCCAAGGTACAATCAGCTCGTCCCACGCCTTCCTCCGTCGGTAGTGACGCTGATTGAGGACATTCTACTCTGCCCATCGAATGAGGCAAAGTATGAAACGATGAAGCAAGCGATTTTGAAAGAGTTACGACCCAGCGCACGAACACGATTTGAGCAGCTCAATGGTCTCAAGCTTGGAGATCGCAAGCCGTCGGCATTGCTCCGCGAACTTCAGCGCATCGCTGGTCCCTTATTCTTGAGCGAAGAAGGGATAAAGGAGCTGTGGTTTGCACGTCTCCCAGAGCCATTGCCGGTAATGCTGTCCATGTTTATAGATGCACCCTTGAAAGACTTAGCTACCAAGGCAGACGCTGCGTTCGAACGTTTTCCGCAGCAGACGACCAGTAACTCCGGTGACGTATTCTCACCGATGAAAACCGAATCACATGTTTGTTCCCAGTCGCTAGACCGATCTGACTCTAAAGACGAGGAAATTGCGCTACTTCGCAGCAGGATAGCAGCAATGAAGGCTTCGAAGCAGCGTGTGCCACGGTCAAATGCTGACCACGTTTTGGCTACCGTTCATTGCGGCTCGTCTGTGCCTGCACCGAGTACGTCACGTTCGGCACGAAAGCGCAACATTTTCCTTACAAGTTCTCAGTCAGATAATGTCAAGCCCGTCGAAGAAGTATGTTGGTATCACCGCCAATACGGTGGAAGAGCTAGACGTTGTCGGGCTCCCTGCATTAGGCACGACCCAGGGAAAACGAATAGCCCGCATACTAGCACTACAAACGTATCATTCAATAACCAAGCAAACCGACTGTTTTACGTTAAGGATCGACGTTCTTCCATCACGTTCCTCATCGACACGGGAGCGGAAGTCAGCGTCATCCCAGCGACCGCTAGCGACAAGCACTCGAAGCCTACGTACAATTTGCGTGCGGCCAACGGTTCTCCGATAGCTTCATTCGGTCAGCGCATGATGAACCTAGACCTCAATCTTCGCCGAGATTTTCAGTGGGTCTTCATGGTTGCGTCTGTACCCTTCGCGATTATCGGTATCGACTTCCTCCGACATTTTGGGTTGCTTGTTGATGCTGGTCGCCACAGACTTTTAGACGATCGTACGAAACTAGGTGTTGATGGTGTCCTTTCAGATGCCCCGATAATCAGCCCTGTATTTCGAATCGCAGACGCACCGTCCGACTACTTGAGCCTCCTCTCCGAATACCCGCGACTGGTTCGACCGGCTGCAGAGCTTCCACCAGTCACAACAGAGGTCGCTCACCACATAGTTACGCGCGGTCAACCAGTTAGCGCACGGCCAAGACGGCTTGCTCCAGACAAACTACGGGCAGCACGAGCCGAATTTGACCACATGCTTCAACTTGGTATCGTCAGACCGTCCAACAGCCCATGGGCGTCGCCTCTGCACATGGTCCCGAAGAAGGTTGTGGGGGACTGGCGTCCTTGCGGCGACTATCGATCCTTGAATACGGTAACCACGCCTGATCGCTATCCGATCCCACACATAGTGGATCTCACCGCCAGTCTGGCGGGTAAAAGTATCTTCAGCAAAATCGACTTGGTACGCGCATACAACCAAATTCCGGTAGCCGAGGCGGACATCGCTAAAACTGCCGTGACGACTCCATTTGGTTTGTTCGAGTTTCTGCGTATGCCATTTGGCCTAAAGAACGCCGCGCAAACTTTTCAGCGTTTCATCGACCAAGTTTGTCGCGGCTTAGACTTCGCTTACGCGTATCTTGACGACATTTTAATCGCAAGCTCTTCACGAGAAGAGCACATACGCCACGTACGAACACTTTTTGATCGTTTATCTCAACACGGGGTGACGATCAACGCAGAAAAGTGTTCGTTTGGTGTCGATTCAGTTAATTTCCTGGGCCATCGTATCTCTTCTGCAGGCGTCGTGCCACTGCAAGATAAAATTCAAGCCATTATCGACTACCCCGAGCCTCATTCTTTCAAGCAGCTCAGGCGTTTTGATGGCCTGGTCAACTTTTACCGTCGATTTATACCCAACTGCGCCTCTCTGATGCAACCCCTCACGGACCTTCTCCGAGGGAAACTCAAGACGTTCGAATTTCCTACCGCAGCACGCGCTGCTTTTAAGTCGCTGAAAGAGGCTATCGCCAACATAGCTTCCATAGCGCATCACGATCCGACCGCCCCACTGTCCCTTAGTACTGACGCCTCGGACGTCGCGGTCGGCGCTGTTTTGCAGCAACGCGTAGCCGACACGTGGCAGCCCTTAGCGTTTTTCTCCAAACGCCTACAACCTACCGAATCTCGCTACAGCACGTTCGGTAGAGAACTACTTGCCGTATATCTAGCGATACGTCACTTTCGACACGTCCTAGAAGGCCGCTCCTTTGTCGTCTTCACCGACCACAAACCCCTAACTTACGTGCTCGGCTCGACTACCGACCGATACTCTCCTAGAGAGTCGCGCCACCTTGACTATATCGCTCAGTTTACGACCGATATACGGCATGTCTCAGGTGTGCACAACGCCGTCGCCGATGCACTTTCCCGCATTCAAGCTATCTCCGCTGACGCCGGCACTGCTATCGACTTGGCAGCCATGGCCACAGCGCAACTCAACGATCCTGAGGTTGATCTACTACGCAGGTCTCCCTCATTGGACATACGACCCGTTCCGCTGACATCATCAGACGGCACCATACTCTGCGATCTATCTCTGGGCACGCCGCGCCCAGTCGTCCCACGTGAGTTTCGGCAGACCGTGTTCGACGCGTTGCACGGCTTGTCTCATCCAGGCGTTCGTGCATCGGTTAAACTCGTAACCGCACGATTCGTTTGGCGCAATGTTAATCGGGACGTCCGTACCTGGGCAGCTGCTTGCCTTCCGTGTCAACGCGCGAAGGTACACAAGCACACGAGAAGCCCATTAGGCACTTTTCCGACGCCAGACGCACGCTTTCATCACGTGCACGTCGACCTCGTAGGTCCTCTGCCGCCTTCCAAAGGCTCGGTATATTTACTGACCTGCATCGATCGATTTACTAGATGGCCTGAGGCCGTCCCCATCCCAAATTGCTCCTCGGAAACAGTAGCGAAAGCTTTTATGGAGCGCTGGGTAGCTCAATACGGCTGTCCCGCCATCGTGACCACCGATCGAGGGTCGCATTTCTCGTCGACATTTGCCATGTTGCTTAAGGATTTAGGCTGTCGCCACGTCCAGACGACGGCGTATCATCCGCCTGCTAACGGCATGGTGGAGCGTTTTCACCGCCAGTTGAAGGCAGCGCTACGTGCGCACGCAGATCCTTCATGGTCTGAAACGCTTCCCCTCGTTCTTCTAGGCTTAAGAAACACGGTTAAAACCGATTTCGACGCCACACCAGCGCAGCTAGTCTACGGTTGCACGCTGCGGTTGCCCGGACAACTGGTAGCACCAGCCCCATGTACTTCCACTTTTGACTACGGAAGTTACACTGACCGATTGGCTCACCAGATGCGTGAGTTACGTCCACCCGCTCCTCGATCGCAGAAGACACCGGTGTACGTGCCCGAGAAGCTGTCTACGTGTTCACACGTCCTTCTTCGCGCAGGCGGTGTTCGACAGCCTCTTCAGTCGCCGTACATAGGACCTTTCAAGGTGCTGCATCGTGCGAGTAAGGCGTACACTATTGACCGCGGTGGTCGACACGAAGTCGTCA